TTGTCATTTATACATATCAATTCTATATCTACCTTTATATAGTCAAAATGCAAATGTATAATTAGAACAACTCTCCTCTTTTCTACCCCCATCCCTCACCACAAAAGAAATAACACAGATTTCCACAGGTTCCATTGACCACAAAGATGTAACAAAGAAATTTGACAATAAAAAGTATTACATATTGAAATCAGAGAAGACCAAATCAGTTCCTCCAAGTTCAGTATGAATATCTAATTAAAAATTAATTTACCATTATGTGATCTAGGTTAAAACATTAATAACCTTAATTTAAAATATAATTGTGAAGGGGGGCTGAAAACAAATAATTTTAATATTAGAAAAAAATATGAAAATAAAATTTTAGTGAGTCAACTCAGCTATACCATGCAACCTCCTTACTCTTTTTTATCCTTAAAAAAAAATTTTATCAAAGTATAGTTGACTTCTTACTCTTAATAGCCAGTTAACCTAGAGGAATTTTCATAGTTCCTTCTAAGCCTTTTGGAATAAGTAAATAAGTTATTTACCAAAGAAATAAGAATTAAGCATTTCTAAGGAGCTACGTTCCAGATACTGACAGGGATGCCTAGGTCTAAATATCTCTCAGATACTTCCTGCCACTTAGCATAATTTCATTGTAAAGATAAAACTTATCTTACTTTGTCAGACTTAAAATGAATCCAAAGTTACCACAGTACATGTGTATACAAATACTTATTTTCTAACTAATAGTCCTTTTAAGGATTAAATTTATCTCTAAGTTTAGACATGTTGAATGTCAGTGTAACCAACATCACTACTATTATCTGAATGTAACTGGAAATTTTCCTATCAACCATCTCATACTATATACTGACTTTAAGTAACCCCCTCCCAATTCGAAGCAAACGTTTTTTCTTCTAGATAGAAGTGCTAAAAGGTAATTTGTTAAAGGGAAAAGGAATGTTCAGCTATTACATGAATGAATACAAAGAATCCCTAAAGTTAACAAGAGAATCAACTTGCCATATAATCTCTGTATGTACTTTTGCCTTGAAAATTATCTTTCCAGAGTTATCTGGTTTTAAAAAGTATTCTCGGGAATTCCCTGGCAGTCTGGTGGTTAAGACTCTGCGCTTTCACTGCCGAGGGCCTGGGTTCAATCCCTGGTCGGGAAACTAAGATCCTGCAAGCCACACAGCGTAGCCAAAAAAAAAAAGTATTCTGGTTTATGACTTTTTTCAGGGGAAAAAATAAAAGAATACATTAAGCTATACTTTAGTTGACTTCAATGTTCTTCCATGACTTGGCTGGGCCAAAAATCAAGTTATGCAAATGAAACTTGAGATCTGCAGGTTTTTGTTTTGTTATACACTCTTATCATTGATTACAGTGGCTCGACTTAATGCCTTTGCTTACTGATATCCAACAGCATGGGCATTTTATAAAACGAATTACAACATTTAGATTGCTTTTGAGTTTGGAAAAGCCTGATATTGACGAAAAGTACAGAGTTCACCTTTAAGGCACATGAGGCTATATAGAGTAAGCCACAAACAAAAAATTCTACTAGAGAATCCTGGGAACAAGACTTCTATATTTGTCATGTACTAACATTTTTGGCTTAAATATGAAGACATTTGATCAATTTCACAATTTTTAAAGCTCATCAGAATCTGGATACCTTTATAACAATAGTTTCTTGAAATTTTTCCTTCATGAGGGGTTTTAGCACTTTTAAGAGCTAAATAAAATGAAATGTCCACCCAATTCATGGAGTCATCAAATTACAAGTCAGTTTCTGGGATTAATTCAGCAATATCTAGTTAACCCAAAGGACTGACGAAACAGACAAAACTGCCAACACACCTAACTAAAAATGAGACAAGTCTCAAGAAAAAAAAAAGTTATTTTACTCTAAGTTCTTCTTGGGATAGAATGAATTAGCCCTTTATACTCCACTACACATTATACTTCATTGCCTTACTTTACCTCCGTTGCAAAACTGTGGAAAAAGACATGCCATTTTGTTTAAACTCAAAGTTCACACTTTTAAAAGCTGTGGTAGGGACTGACAAGCTTCTACGAAATCTTTTTTTTTTCCAGTTTTGTTGAGATATAATTGACATACATACAAGATCTCTAATAAAATGTTTCTGGATAAATCTGATGTGACTTTATCATGCCCTTAGTTAACAAGTCTTATTTTTTATCATGCCCTCAGTTAAGAAGGCTTATTTTTAAAAGGAAAGACTTATTTGCTCCAGCATCAACTCTCTACAGATGAGAACTGACACTGCAGCAAATAAATCTCACATTTTTATTAATTGGTTAGTTGGGGTTTATATTTAAAAATAAATAAATATTGAGTTGGATTTGTTTTAAATTGAACTCAGAAAGAGACCAGACTGAAGTTATTACTTATTCCAAGAAAGAAATAATTCAAACTTGAATTACCTACAAGAGGCAATAAAACCGAAAAAAAAGTATAGCACATTAACAAAGACGAGAATTTTTTGTCTTTTTCTGCTGTTTATTTGGGTGGGGGGGTTAGGTAGAGAAAAACTTTGTAATCTCCCTCTTCGATCATAAGCAAACCCAAGTTGCTTAATTTCTTTTCTTTTCATTCTTTCAATCTCTTCCAAGCCAACTTAATGAGCTATCTCTAATTTATGGTACCGTAAAAACAGCACATCCAGTTTACACAAAATTTCATAGCGCACTTTACTATAAACACTCAAACCTTTATAAACTTTAAAAATTGGCTCTGTGGTGCTTTGGTAAACTTGTTTAATAGTGACTTAAGTTAAATCTAGGGTAATAAGACTCTGTGACTTGGGAGAGTAGAGGAATTGGTCTTATTAGGATTTTCTTTTACTGGTCACAAGTAAACTGTTTCCAAGTATTTTATAGATAAATGCTGTTCTACGATTTCCAAAAGTAGCCTGTTTTCCTTGAAGAGTAGGTAAAGAGAACAGGCAATCATTCCCTGGAATTTTGCTTTTGCTAAGAGCAGGTAGAGAATTCACCTGTATTTGCTCTTCTCTCCATTTACTCTTCATATATTTGGAAGGGAAAACAACGAGGTGGACCCTTTCTGTCTTCCTCAGAATATTCTGGGATCTATCCCCAAGCTCTCTTTGGGCTCTCTAAGCTAGTTAGAAGCACAAAGAGGGGGTAGGAGGAAAGTCAGAAGGACTACTCCAACTGGTAACCATATATACGTATATACTTTTATTTTAGTAAAAATTTAAAGTATGAATTTAGTAGTCTTCGAAATGTTACAACCATACCACAGTCCTCAGCAAAGCTGCAATATATCAATTTTTTCCTCAGTTTCAATTCTTTAACCTTTGAGGAACCAAAATAAAATCAAAATTTCAAAACACATGACTGTAAGAAAAGGTCAAGCCTTTCTATCAACTGAGAATTAAGAATCTAAGTTGTTAATCTTTTTAACAGGCTACTTGATATGATACAATGTAAAAAAAAAAAGTAGGAATCTATCAACTGCTGACTCTAGAGTTTAAAAAAGTATTGATTAGGGATTCCCTGGTGTTGCAGTGGTTGAGAGTCTGCCTGCCGATGCAGGGGACGTGGGTTCGTGCCCCGGTCAGGGAGGATCCCACATGCCTTGGAGCGGCTGGGCCCGTGGGCCATGGCCGCTGGGCCTGTGTGTCCGGAGCCTGTGCTCTGCGACGGGAAAGGCCACAACAGTGAGAGGCTCATGTACCACAAAAAAAAAAAAACAAAACAGTATTTATTACAACTCCTCCTACAAAATAATGATTACCTTCCAAGTTTCCAAAACAAAAAGAAAATTATGAAAGTCAGAAAGCAGCTTGATTGTCAGTAGTATCAGTTTCCTTTTTTTTAACCCATGTGACTGTTTAAAGATGTGTGGAAAAATAAAAGGAATCACACTACTTCTAATGTTCATAACAAACTCTCCATGAAAACATTTAAAGGGACTCCATGATTTCACATTTAAAATTAGAGTTCTATTAGTAGCCAAGAAGCTAAGGGTATTTTTTATATCTCACTGCTCAGTGTATTTCTAGCGATTGATAGAGTTTAGCAGAACTGTAAGGGTTTTCTTTAGTTAATTCTGAACATTAACCTGTTCACATGCCAGAAGCTGTTACACCAAATATTTAAAAATTAGAGCTGTGCTGAAAATAAAAAGACCTACAAAAGAACTTGATAGAGATATTTTCTGCCTTTAAGGCAGTTTCACAGCCTAAAATTTCAACAAGCAGTGGAAAAGTAGAATTGGTTGTTTTGCTTAATTGATTTCTCCTTTTGAATATTAATCAACATAGCATCATGTCTAAAATTCGCCACTAGTAACATTATTTTCTCAGTAGTCATCACTTGCAGAAAGGATTCTGAATTTACATAAAGTGAAAAACAAAAAGAAACCTAACGAAAGATATCAGGGCCTGTTTTTACACCTTTGAGTTAATAATTAATGAAAACAGATAGAACTAAACCTAATGAAGGCACTATTGTAAACAGCAATCCACACCCTACCCCAACCTGGAAAAAAGATGTCCACTAGAAATTGAGAATTATGCTATGGCCCTTTAGAAAAACTAAACTAAGAAATCATAACATTAAGAAGGAAACTGAATTATGATCTCTACATATGTATACTGACATAATAAACTATTTGTCAGCAGTACCTTAAAGTCTTCTAAACTGTAAAAGAACTAGTCTTTGAAAAAGCCCACTTAACCACCCTGAAGTTTAAATAGTCAAAACATTTACTAAATCAGTGGTTCTTAAAACTAGAGGGTGTGGCAGAATAACCTGGTGCCTGTTAAAACACAATGCTAGGCCCCTCCCACAGCATTTCTGATTCACTAGGTCTGGGGTGGGGCCCAAGAGTATGCATTTCTAATAACTTCTCAGCTGATGCTGAAGCTGCTGGTCTGAGGACCACCTGCTGAGAAGCACAGACCTAAATTATGAATAGTACATCAGCACAGCCCTAACCAACAAAAGTTTGGTCAAGATGCATGTAAACAAATAAGGATAGAATAATGCTTAGAAAGAACGCTGATAAATTCACCCTTATTACATCAAAACATCTACATCTGCTTCGTGGTCTTCCTCAGTCACTTTCAAGGACAGCACTTCTTCATTAAGGAATAGCCCACTGAGCCTCTCCTTCCGAGCCTGCCTCTGCTCTTTCAGCTGCCTCTTGCGTAAGGCCTTCTGCTGTAACTTCCGCTGCTTGGATCGCTTCTGTCAAAATAAAAATTTCTAAATCAGTGAGGTTCAGTTCTGGCCTATCTACCCCAGAGTATTTTATGGATCAAATTCTATATTTTCTGATTAGAGATGTTCAAATTCCTCTGCAGTACAATCCTGGTTCCGGTAAGTGAGCCATTAGCTTAGACATGAAAACGATTCTTCGAGATTCTATTTCAATGGTATCTGACCAGTGAATCTTCTTATAAGGAAGGGCTGAAACTTGATCATTTGACTAGTTATGGACAACCAATCATTTCTAAGACTTTTTTATATCAAATTAAGGCACACTGGTGTCAGTGCAGAGGAAACATGTAGTGAACAATACTGAATACAAATATAGAGAACATTGTCAAAATCTCTAATGCTTATGCTTTTAAGGTGCCTTTCATCCAAAAGCACTAGCAATTTTACAATGGCTGGGAAAGAACCATGTCTCTTTCATATTAAGCAAATACCATCTTAAAAGTCCATTAGAAACCCAGTGGGTACCCTATTCCTTGTCACTGGTAAACTGATGCCAAAAAGGAATGACCACATATCCAAAGGAAACACATGGCAACCAACAAAGCTGGCTATGTTTCTGCTACTTTGGTAAGAACCAGGGAAGAAATCACTGTGTATCCTTGTCACCACTGGGTTCCCAAAGAGTTATAGAGAAACCCTTATCATCCATAAGTTGGCTCCACAACTGTCGCCACTGCAAGGAACCGAACTCCCCTGCTAAGCATCACAGAACCATTCTATACATATTTAAACTTCTTATTTATGTGCCCAATAATATTATACAGAATTTTTTCAACTGTCAGAAGAGTAGACAGAAATTAGAGAAAGCATTATTACATTTTAAGAGCTAAGAAGAAACATTCAAGATTAAAACATTAAGAAAACATTTAACACACACAAAAAATACACAGAACATTTTTAGGAGCTAATAGACAGCAACATCAGCAACATAGTAAGATCCGCTTAGTAGTAAGCTGCAGTCAGTATTGCAATCTTGAGGCTCACTCATTATTTCCATCAATTTATCTTACTTAAAACAGACATAAAAATCAGATAAAATTGAAGGTAATATGGCTGTGGGTCAAAACAGCATTTCAAAGCACTCAGCCTAGAGGGCTTTGATCAATAGGAGAGAATCCTGCTTGTTCAATTAAAACCAAAACCCACAGGCATCTATACAGCAGGATAATTATAACTCTTCAAGAAATTTATATGAAGGAATACTAATGTTAATATTGAAAGGTAAAGTTTTGTATTGATTAGACATTTTACTTTTGAATCCCGAATCCGCTCTGCTGCACTTGCAGACAAGTTGCTGTCACTGTGTGCTCGACTCATGTTGGCACTGGAGTTTGAAGCAGAGTTTCCAACACTGGACCCACTGCTGCTTGCAGAACTGACCATGCTGGCACTGCTGCTGCTGGCACCGCTCACTCCACTGGTGCTTGCGCAACTAAAGTTGCTTCTCTTCCAGGCCTCTCTTGCAGGCCGTAGGCGAGGGCTATGCTCCTTGATATAGTTTCTGACCTTGGAACACACAGACAAAAATTGGTTACTGCTGTTCCTCGACATTCTGCCTTCAGAATAATGGAGAAAAGAAGAATATTGTACTGAAAATTGTCAAAAGTGCTACAGATGCACATAGGTAGAATATAAAGACAAAAGAAATCTCTAAATGTAGAAATAAGTACCAGAAAAATTGACAATGTTCAAAATTCTAGAATACATATTATGAAATTAGATTTTTAAAAGCATATAAAATATAATCAGTAAATGGAAGGCTACTAGCCTATAGAATTTAGGATTATAAGAAAATAACACTCAGAAATAGAAACTAACAATAAAATAAAATGCATAAGAGTAGGCATTTTTTAAAGGTTGCACCTTAAGATGATTTAAGTAAGCTGCTGATTATGTCTAAGATTAGAGTGTCTCCTAGATCTTAGCTAGGGGCCCACAGTACCTGTCTTCAAATGCAAGGCATCAATTTACCATACTAATGAAAAATGGGCTGGAATGTAGAAAATTATAGTATGTCTGTTGAGAGAAATACTGAGAGAAATTTTTCATAAATCATGACAAATGCAAAAAAATAAAAAGTAGAACATAAGTACTCATTCAGCTATGTATCAGAGAAAGAGAAGTAAAGCCTATATTTAGAAGATACCAGAAATGTGTACCTCAGAATAACAGAAGGAAAATTCATTGTTTTACCCTAGCCAGGCTCAATTACTGCATAAGACTATTCAAATACCACAGCTCAGATGTTCACTCAAGTACAGCTCTTAATAATCAATATTTTGATTCTGTCAATTGGTCTTCTGTAAACTGAGTTAGAATAAATCTATAATTTAGCATAACCACCCCTTAAATAGTGAAATTAGGTTTCAAAACCTGCATAACTAAAAAGCAGGTTCTAGATCCACATGGTCCCAGAAAGGTACAGCCAGGTAAGATGTACATAAAACCTCTTAAAACCACATGTTCTAATATTACATTTCACAGCAGTGATTTTGACCTTAATTATTTATGTATTTACATATGACTATTCAAGTATACATGTTATAAAACAATGGTATTTTCAATAGCTGTACAATCTGTATTTTCTTTACATACCTGCTTCAGTTTTTCATCTGTGAGACAGTTAAGTTCAATAATAAACTCACTGTCTGTAGGGGAGATTTGAGCAGAAGGATCAATTATTTTAATAATATCAAGTTGCTCCCGAAGACCCATCTCAGTACTGACTTTACGACTCAGATACTCAATATATTCCACCTATATGATGAAAAATTACAATAAACAAGATCAATGCCAAAACCTCTGATCTTTTAGTGTGTAATTTTTAATGTTTTAAATATCAGAAGCACTTAATATTATATTTGTTCCCTGCAAAACAATTAGTTACAGCTCAAATTCATATTTACTAAGCAATCCACATTTATCCAGTAGCTTTAAATAGGCAATAAATCAAGCTTCACATATATGTGTTTTTTTTGTTTGTTTGTTTTTGGCCATACCAGGCGGCATGTGGGATCTTAGCTCCCCGACCAGGGATCAAACCCGCATACCCTGCATTGGAAGCATGGAGTCTTAACCACTGGACCACCAGGGAAGTCCCCCACATATATGCTTTTAATTAAGAATGTTGAGATCGCTACCTGTTCATCATTTGTCATTGCACTCCAAGGAAGTTCATCTAAATTCAGGTGCTTGTTTTTCTTTTTAGGAAGCAGGCAAGGCGAACTTGGAATACTGGGTATGACATCAGAAAGTACATCACTCCCACTGGCAATGTCACTGCCTGGTAACTTTATAAAAAATAAGGAGAAGGGGGCAGGGAAAGAAAAATTAAAAAAAAATTTTAAATACCACATGTTTTGTATTGATTAAAAATGACTTTAATAAAAGACTAACGACAAATACAGAATTGGACGACATTAACTCTGATCCACTCCTATTTTAGACAAAGCAGCAACGTCAAAATACTCTTTGTATATACAGTCACTTATTCAATGAGAGATATTTTCCAAAAGCTTAAAGTCACAATCAAGGCTTGTTAAAATGCTAACTTGAGAGTCAATCATCATTAAGGTTTTAAATTCATAATGTGAATGTAGGCTAGGACCCACACAGCATAATGAATAAGGAGCAGTAGCCTCCATCTCAAGAGACCTGAGTGATCTGCCACCACCTGGCTCTTTGCCAGACACTGTGCTAGACATACTGCCAATATAAAGACAAATCATGGCCCTTGTCCTCATGTCTGTATTCATAACCTCGAGACAATTAAACTAATTTAAATTATGTTGTTAATATAAAGAAAAATACTTTAAAGACCAGAAGTATTATAAAAGAAAAATTGGAAAAAAATGGCAAGAGACAATGCGTAGACAAAGGAGAAAGCAAGCAAGCCTAACACACAGAAAATCAAATCAGCAAAAATATGTGCTATAATTTTATACTGCCTGTTAAAAATCAGTTAGAATGGATTTAATCTTTTAACAGCTTTGTTGAGCTATAACTGATATACAAAGAACTGTACATATTTCATATATACAATTTGATGACTTTGGACATATGCATACACCCATGAAAGCATCATCACAATCAAGGTAATAAACATATCCATCACCTCCAAAAGTCAGAATGGACTTAATTTTAAATAAATGTGTTTAAGCCATTTTTCAGAAAGATAAAATATTTTCCTCTACAATGAGTATATAACAATCTTCAAAAATAATGTTTTCGGGCTTCTCTCGTGGCGCAGTGGTTGAGAGTCCGCCTGCCGATGCAGGGGACACGGGTTCGTGCCCCGGTCCGGGAAGATCCCACATGCCACGGAGTGGCTAGGCCCGTGAGCCATGGCCGCTGAGCCTGCGCGTCCGGAGCCTGTGCTCCGCAATGGGAGAGGCCACAACAGTGAGAGGCCCGCGTACCGCAAAAAAAAAAATTAAAAAAAATAATGTTTTCATTTTTACAATGTACAAAACAGCACCTTTTTGTTGTTTTGGTTCTATAGACTTTGCAATTATATCTGAACTCTAGGTGATTACTAGGCTTTTGAAGTTACCAAAAAGAAAAGCCACTTTATCCATTCAGATTACTGCAATCACATGTGTCTGGCCTTCTATTGTACCCACAGCACTGTAATAGGTACAGGGAATCCAAAGGAGCCTAAGTCATGGTCCTTACACAAGAACTTTATATTCTAATTGGAAAGATAATACAATAGCACAAACATATAATTTTTGTGCTATAATATAAACATAGCAAATAACAAATGCATGTCTGAGATGACAAGTCATCAATGGAAATACCTAGCCTGAGTTGAAGCTACAATATTAAAGCTTAGAGAACTACAAGGGGGCAGGCACTGGGGAGTCAATTGCATAGAAGAGATGAGTGAAGTCACAAAAAGGGGGTTGATCACTACACAAGGTGACCATGATGTTTCGAATGAAGTTATCCAAGTTTGCTATTACTCTTAAAAACCACATTTTCACTTTGACTGTCACTGATGAATCTAAGCATATAAGTGACATCCAACAATATGTATGACTTCCTTTAAAATCTCATTAACTAACACTTCTTGTTCACCCTTAGCTCAAATGTTATCTAGTCAGTGTAATGAAAGAATGATTGCTGAATGCACACATGAAGGCCATCTCTTTTTCAGCCTTTAACGTCAGTAAAACGTTTTGCTATTTTCCCTTTGAAAAACTTCAAATCACAACATTACTATGTTAAAGATCTCCCTGGGGTTCCTAAAACAAAATGAGATGCTCCTTATCAGATGAAAGGCCTCCCCTACTTCAAGCTCCTTTGATAAATCAGGTAGAGAAAGGAACTCTCAAAGTATCTATACTCTCAAAACTTAAGAAAAGAATTCATCTGTAGCCTATATCTGCTAAGTGCCAGACTGTATGTTAAGCATTTTAATTTGTGCCTTTTTTTTTTTTTTTTTTTTTTTTTTGCGGTACACGGGCCTCTCACTGTTGCGGCCTCTCCCGTTGTGGAGCACAGGCTCCAGACGCGCAGGCTCAGCGGCCATGGCTCACGGGCCCAGCCACTCTGCGGCATGTGGGATCCTCCCGGACCGGGGCACGAACCCATGTCCCCTGCATCAGCAGGCGGACTCTCAACCACTGCGCCACCAGGGAAGCCCCCTAATTTGTGCCTTTAATTCTGTTTACATATTTGTTGGGGGGTGGGTGGAAAAAGATAGGCAATTAATGGTTCTTTAGCCATTTTTTTCTGGGGAGAGGTTAAAAGACCCCAAACAGAGTTCAAATCAAATCCCAGCCCCACTGCTCACTAGTCATGTGATCTTGTGTAGGTTAGTTCCCTTCTTTGAGCTTCAGAGTCTTCAGTAAGCTATGGTTACTGCCATCCATCTCAAAGGACTGTTGAGAGATTTACAAAAGGTAACATGTCTGGCACATGGGTGATACTCAATAAATCGCAGTATGTCCCTTTTTCTATACCTTGCCATGGTTTTAAACCTTTTTAAAAAAGGAGCATAAACCCTCAGAGAATACTTCATGTTGCTAAAGTGGCTGGGTTAAATTTCACAAGGTAGTCTCTTGGAATGACAGCATGGGGAAAAGGAAAAGGTATTCAGGTAAGGAGAATAAGTTAATAAAACCATAGGTGGAAGAAAAAAACACAGGATGAGGTTAAGGAGACCAATATAATTAAAACAGAAAATCAGTGCTAGGGATTTGAAAGTTTAACAAATGAACTAGAGCTGTTATATGATATGAAGAAGTAGACCAATAACATTTCTAAGTAGAAGTAGTAATGATGAAATTGGTCTTGAGGGAAGATGAGTTAAAAAGCAGTATGGGGACAAAATAGAGGAAAGACTGGAATTAGGAAGCTCTTTTCTTGTGATCTGGGCCTGGACTAAGATAAGCAAAAATGGAAAGAAAAATGGGAGCAGATAGGGTAATTTTCAAATGAAATACAATTTATAAGACTATTTGATAACTGAATGGATAAGGATAATAGTCAAATGGCCATATGTGAGACCAGAAGAAAACTGGCAACATTTCATGGTCATACAACCCACCCTGGTTAACATACAACCCTTAAAGACCTCATTTTTTATGGCAAGAGACCTGAAGTAATGTTATATAGATCTTCTAGTCCTACACCTCATTTTACAAATAAGGGAAAAATGATATCCAGGGAGGGTCATACGGTTAGTGGCACCATCCAAAGAAGGACACAAGTCCAGTGCTTTCGACTATGTCAGGCTGTCCTGCCCTGCAGGTAGTTTGGAATAAGAGAAGAATGCAATTTGGAATATGGAGAGTTTGCAGTGATAATGAGAAAAGCAAGTACAAGTGTCCTTTGAAATGACAATAATCATTTTACAATACACTGTAAGACATGTCACAAAGCAGAGTCTTTTTTTTCCCCCCATGGAAATACTGTAATTGGAAGTTGCATTACTGATCAAGGACTCAGCATCAGATAATGGGCTAGCATTAAATAATAAGGTCATTCAACTGGAAATGTCAAGTAGTCAATTGGAGATAGGGGATTAGAGCTGCAGATATACAGGAGAAATAACTGTATGTGCTCCTGTGTATTTATTAGACCAGCAATTTTTGATTTTATAACTGATAATATATTTCAGGATAAAAATGCTTAATAATTCTCATCTCGTATTTTTCATGGACAACAATATTTGGTATATCTATATTAGAATCAGTAATTGCGACAAGTAAGGATAATTAAATCAAACCTCTGCCATATTTTCTGCAGTATGCAGCAAAATTTTATGAGTAAGCTCATTTCTTTAACAGCTGATATGCAATTTCAAATTGTACCTCTAGGTTTCAAGCATGACAGCTGAATTACTCACTCTTTAAATTTTCTATGCTTTCCTGCTCGACAATAAAATAATTTCTCAAGTTTTAAGACTAGTCAAATATATCTTTGATAGTAAAAGGACGGCAAGCAAAGAAAACTATCAACAAGGCAAGATGTTTTCATGCTACTTCAAATGCTAAAATGCTACTTCATTCTAAGATTAAAATCCTGCCTTATCAAGCAGTTAGCATTTCTCTTCCCAGAGAATCTATGAATCATTTATATTTACTTTAGTAGTAACTGAAACATCTGTCTAAAAGAAAGATTTAAACAGATGCAGATTTTAATCACAAGAGAGGTAATACGAATTTTTAAACTACAGTCAACGATTTTCAGCCTACATTAATCCTAATACATAATTTGTAATTATCTTCTGGGGTAATTTACTGTTCATGATTATGAGATCCCACAAAGACAAGAGAGCATTTTAAACCTTTCAGCATATTTAAACGGCAAATATCCATGGTAACAGAGTACCTACACTCCAATTTCAGAAGTGGAAAACACAGTACTAAGGCAGGCCTTATTTTTGTTTCAGTGTTGTCAGTCATGTGCATTAACAGTGAGTGGTTGGGGATAGTTTTCCACTCTACTCATAAAATGAGTGAAGAAGTCAGCAATTAAAATTAAAAAGCGCCTGCCATTTTGCAACATTATGGATGATAACTCTAAATTAAGTCACATGAAATAGGCAGAAAAAATATTTATCAGAATTATCAGAACTCCATTTGCTTATACTGTGTTAAGAATCCTTGTGGTCTTATTTTCAATACAAAGTGTGCACTTTAAAAAAATGAGGCACTGGGAAGTAGGGAAGGGAAGGAATGGGAGCTTGGGATTAGCAGATGCAAACTATTATATATAGGATGGATAAACAACAAGGTCCTACTGTATAGCACAGGGAACTATATTCAATATCCTGTAACAA